GCGTGGAGCTAGCGTCGTTGTGCACACCCCAAGGAAAATTAATTTTCTCTCAGATTACCGTCAGCAGTTTTTGTGTAGTTGTCACTTGGTTTATTACAGAATAAAAGTCATAAATGAAATCACGCATCACTCTCTTATCAACGTCATCAATGTGGATTTTTTTTCCTTCACAATATGGCCTTTTCTTACCGGGAGTACTCAAGGCTGCCCCACCGGCTTCAAATGCTTCTTTTCTAATGGATGTCACAGTTCCAACAGATACTCCAATATAGTTTGCTACCCGAAAATTGCTGTTATACAGCGTGTATTGAAAAACGCCCGAATTCTTTTCATCGTCACATTTCTTAATAACCAATCGTATAATTTCCCTAGCTTCACTGTGTATTGTTTGGCTTTTCCTACGAACAGAAGCCACACCGTTTTACCAAAAGTCACGAACAAAATTAAAATGAATACGTAGGGCCTGGACTGTGATTCACAAAGAAAGCGTGCCGATGTCAGCAGTACGAACAGTTGCTCAGTTGTCGTAGTAATGGTGACGTATGCACGAGATAAAGCGGCAGACAGCCCTCTCTCCGCGTACTCCCCGCGCCGACACAAGTCAGCTCCCGACTGTAGTTGCCCCTTGACGGTGAGATCTTTTCTGAGTTTCAGTATTCTGGTAATGGATATTCCAGTGACCTCTGTCGCAAGTTCAGCGATTTGCTTCACTGGTAACGCCGGTATGCAATAACGAACTGAAAACGTTCAAGACGAGGAGCTTTCTGCACGTCGAAGAAACTTTCCACTCTTATGTTTAATTACTGAAGGGCCAGCCAAACACAGGTATTCTAAAACGAACTGAATACGGCCTCGCAGGCCGATTAGCGGCGCGGCGCCGCGGTCCCACGAGCCGCGGCCCACGCCCCTTACCCATGTCAGTCAGCACGTTTGTGGGCTCAACTGTCAGAACTGTCAAGCTCATAATCTTATCGCCCTGCTACACGTGTGCAGTTCACAATTGTTTCCTTTTTCTAAACCCTTGCAATAGTTTTGACCCAAGGTTAATTTAACAAACGATGGCAGATAAATTATTATTCCGAGAACTATTTACTTTAGCGTCAGGATTCCGACAACAGCAGAGCACATACTGCAAACCAACGAGACATCAAAACGCGCGTGTATTTGTTTACATCATTTTTTTTCATGGCGTGTACGGATAATAGTATGTAATTTGCACCTGAAAGTTAGTTATATGAGGAGGTTATTCAGTTTTATGGTACTATTTGTATTTTTATGGTACTATTTACCTGTATATAAATCCATCTTCAATGAACCTCTTCTCAGTGGTATACAAAGATGCAGTTTGTACAATCGTTAGTATAGATTAGAGACAGGTTAGTACTTGTTATTTCGCTTTATTTTTTTATTACAAAAACGGGGTCAACATTCAACGGGCCACATGGCCCAGCCACAACGGTCAACATACATGAATGCCGCCCTCCAGAACGTAACTCTCAAACCAGAGTGTTCTGAGAACGACAAAGAAACGGCAGCAAGGCTCCTGACTGGTTGAGAATTATAGAAACCGGCTGCTCCTATCGGTGGTTTCCATCGTTTTCTCTAATCTGTGGTGAGTAACGGAAAATACCAAATGGTTCCGCGAAATGTGTTTTTCGGCCAACCAGACGCGCTCGAGTGGCAGTTGATTCCGAGGGTTCAATCCAGAGAGTGCAGTCGGAGGTTAGAGATAGTTTTCACGAGTGAATTGGTTCGGTCCGATGTTGTATCTAAAAAGAAATGTAAGAATTGGCGCATATTATGCCGCTGTATGTCATTCGTACGAATGGAACGGCACGTCGGGATATCCAGATCTTCCCTTCAGCCTTTTCTGCAAATGGCGAAAGGCGCGGATCGTCACGTCCCGCCCGTGACGGCCTCGTGCGAGCACCTTTACGGGAAACAACTAATCAACTTTTCAACAATCAAAAACTCCCGCCCGTTCTGTTCATCCGTGTCGTATCCACCCAGTACGCGCTATACTCTGATTTATACAGTGGCATTTCAAGGTTACGCGCTGGACCGAGAGGGGGAAACTGTCATCCAATCGGGAACTTTGTTACGACTTAAATTTTTGGTATTGGAGCTCTCGATGACAATGTCCCCTTCTCCTTCCAGCTTGTGACAATGAAATGTTACACTGTTTAAATCAGAATATAGGCTATAGAAGGTAGCGTACTGCCGCTACTACAGCTCATAAAATGCCGTCGCACCCACAGTAAGGTGATTTGGCACAAAATTAATTAATAGCAGTAAGACAGCGAGGGAGGCAGGTAAGACAGTGCGAGCAAGTAGCAAGACTCGAGATAGAATGCGCTAAAAGGAATGAGCATATCAAGGTGGCCTCATGCTCAAGTAACTTCACTGAAAAATGTTCGACTGCGTCACTCTTCCTGCGGTCACCGGGAGATGAACAACGTACTACACCCGAGAACATTACTGCGTAAGCTCCCCGTGTCGCCTACTGCATCGCCGCCAGCAGCCCTAACCGGGCCGCCGCCAACATCGCCGCTCAAGGAGCAGCATATGGACCAGGTAGGGACATCCCGGTCCCACGACATTCACCCGAGCACCGGAAAACGTCGCCTTCGCGGACGTGAACAATGAACACCGTAAACCGCGAACCGCCCTACGCCCTACGCCGCGTTGAATAAAAAACATACCGGGAGAAGTGGCTCAGGACATCAACTGATGTCACTGCAATGCATCGACCGAGATGTGCTAGGTTCGAGTCCCGACGGTGGCAGGATTTTCGATACTAGCTTATCAGCTAGATAGAATTCAGTAGCCGTCTGGAGAAAAATTCTAGTTGCTCTGAATGGTAGTTTTCCATTGTTTCTCTGAACAACACCAAGCGAATGCCGGAGCGGTACCTTAACAAACGTGCGACAGACCGCGCGCGATCTTTCCTCCCTCTTCCTTATCCTCTTCACTTACACACACACACACACTTGCACTAACACGCAATACACTACCACACATGCTGGAAGACCGGTCGGGAGCTTAGAACTTGTCCCGCCTGAGGTGGTGCCATGCTGATGGGAGATACCCGGAAAAACCCGCTAGCCGACGGTAAGTCGGCACCGAATCTCGACGTCCAGTGGGGAAAGATCACCGCCATCTCTCGAGGAAAATACAAGCACTACACTTAAGGGACTAATGACCTTAGACGTTGACGCCCCTGGAATCACTAACAACGAAACAATCACAATTTTTTTCGTTGAAAAAAATGTGTTGTTTAGCGATGTCTGTATAGAATAAAAAAAAAGTAGTAGTGTAGTACGTCTGCATTCCTATTGAAGAAAAAACACATTAAATGAGCAGGCGTGTCGAAAGGCACACGCATGTGCTTCTTGTCCGCCGCACGTCCCAGCGTGCACGGGCTCCCCTGATTCCGTTCTTAATTCCCCTCTAAATCCAGAAAGGAGTGCAAACTGTAGCATGGCAGATAAGAATAAAGCGTGCTTAAAATACCACGACGAAAGATTACTGCATAGGGAAACATGTTTGCGAAATGGTTACAAGCAAACAAATGATTTGAATTATGTTTATACAAGACCTAAGGTATTTTTAATGAAGTTTAATCAAAATTTTGGAAGTCACTTTGAGAAACTTTTCAAAATGAGATTGAGGCTTCATGTAAAGAACCCCAAAATATCAAAATATTCGTTTCAAACTCGCACAGACGCGAGTTCCGTCAGATCGATCGTGAATATCAATTTTGAACAGTTTAGTGTTGACCACAAACGAACAGACGAATGAGCAAACAGACGTTTCGCGGTCAGTGAATCAAATTTTCTGTATTATGAACCTACAAAACGTGGATTCTGAGTACATATTGTGTTAGAGAAAGTAATTTACTACCTTTTTGAAGAATATTTATCAACTTTTTCAATATCAGGGCTCATAATATGAGCTTTTCTATCGAAAAATTATCGATTTTTGTTCCTGCGTTACAATACTTTCTCTTTACTACGTACATAGTAATGCGAGATAACAACGGAAAGTTAGAAGGAAGTAAATGCGTATGTACCGTAGATGTTATTCATGGTATTTTTATTTAGGGTATTAATGACCATATTTGCCTTACTTAAATAGAAATATTAAGAAAAATATTTACACAAAGATAATTCGATTTTTTTAAATAGAAACATTTTTCATCTGTAATAGAGATATTGTGGAAAATACAAATGTGTTTTACTATTTGATGTTTCTTTGATGTAGTGATACCATACTAGTTGGCTAAGAATTCCCCAGAATCTCTGAAAACGTCCCACAACATCTTGCAGTAGCAATGCGTAACGTTGATAACGCTAAAAGGCCGCAACCTATCGTTGACCTTGCTGTGTTTTTCAACATTTCCAGGATGCGGTTCAATGCTCCAGCATTTTTTGCGGGAAACATGTAGAATAACGAAAAGTTTAACATCGCTCTAGATTCAAAATATATAGTCAGCATATTAAATATCGCTTAAATAATTATCCTTAATATGAAAAACAGCTCATCTTGATGTACGAATGTCATTATGTGTGATATATTGTGATAATGCGTAGTTATGGAGTGTCTTACTGTGGAGTAAATTGATATCCATATTATTTATTATGATCATTATAGGGAAGAACTAATTTTTGAAAAATTTGTAAAAACACTCTTAAAGAATATTTCATTTTAAAAGACCCTTCTGCATCCATATGGTTCGTACGTAAAACTGAAATACGTGTCTTCCCAAAATACAGAGTCAGTCTCGTATGGTATTAATCAATAATAATGCAAGTTAATATTGAATTTTCCGACAGTTACCAATAAACCAATTCGGGAGATAGTTGTCACTTCGACTTGTTTACACGAATGTCAATATAGTACAAGCAAACTAATGATGATACAACACAGGCAGAACCTTTACCGCGTAAATACCAAAGTGAATGTCTACGCGGCGTTGTAGGCACACTGTAAGTACATACCTACAAGCACGATGATCATACATTCCAGCACGATATTTCCAAACATCTTTTCCAAAAGAATACGACTGCCTCACATCCAAAATTATTTCTTCAAAGAACTCCTATCAAGATGACGTGTAGCTCTCGGTAATGTAGAAGATTTTTGATTGGGATTGAAACACTTCACTAGTGCACGCAACAACATAGTGCCTACCGCTGAATTCATACAACATCAATCTTCAAGCTAATCCGCAAAATCGCATACGGCAAAACAAATTAATTTTAGTTTAGAAATCGCGTGTAAATTACGACAGAGGATCTCACAATGATATCCATGTGAGAGTACAAGCACGTGATAATCCGGTATATGTCATTGCGCTGACTACGTGTAGTCTCATCCCTCCTTCCCATCTCTTAACAGTCCGTTGGCTTTCGCCACTCTTTCTCAAGGTCTCAGAGATGCGCTGCACAGCGGTCAGTTCTAAAGAAGCATCTCTTGCAGTATAAGCATTTTAATTACTATTCAACATGACCCTTCATAATAAATCGTCATAAAGGTCAAATGTACTTCATTTCGACCAAGCATAAAGTGAATTAGCATGAAAAGATTTGATTGGCAGATATAAATTTAAGTAAAGATCTTTCCATTGTCATTTTATACAAAACTTTTTGGGACAAAAAATTTTGACACAAAGAAAAATACTCATATTTACTGAATAAATGTTATCAAAATATAATAGGCACAATTCAAGCAAGGCATAACTGTTTTTTTACGCGCTTACGCTGGTAGCTTGTACAGTTGTAGTTCTCTTCTTTTGAAATAAGACAAAAATAAAAATTAATCCGCTTAATCATATCCGCCTTGCAAGATAATTCGAACGGAACGTGGTGCGGACGGAGCACCAGTGAGCTCGTAATGTCACTAATGTCTCCTTCCTCAAATAGACACTCGTGCGTTTAAATAAGATGATAGTGGCCTTGCCCTCCATCAGAAGTTTTGTTGTATGTTAGTCAAACAAACAATCTAAAGAATTGAAAGAAGATTTTAAATAAATACATTTTCAAATTATATTTAATAATTAATTTACAGATTTACCGAATAAACATTCTTACTTCTACTACACGCTGTTGTACCCAAGTTTGAAGGTTCAAACCCGATCGAAGCCGAGAATTTTTAAGGGCGAAAATATCCTTTGTATCCTTCGTAATCCTTAAAAATAACCTTCCGGGGGAAATAAAGACAGCCGTCCTAAGTTGTAGATGTAAGACTAAAAGACCCTCACGTCTAAAAGAGGCTTCTGAGAAAAATTCAAATCGCCGGTTTCATTGCCCGAGTGATACGGTCTTTATCCGCTGGATGGTGAAAGGAGCATAGTGAAATTTGCCTGGTCGGCCGGAAGAGCAAACCTGATGGCCGAGTATCTCTACGTAAAATAAGGAATGAACTGAACTTCCAGGTTCGACCTAGCCCTCTCCGACGATCGCTGGGTGGGTCACGTCCTCTTTTGGCTACTTTACCATTGCAAATTTACACTGAAAATAAAACGCTATTTTATGTAAAAAGAAGATTTTTCATTAAACGAAAAATAATTAAATTCTGCAGCTCCTACTTTACAGAAAATGCCGATATATATGAATTCTTAACTCGGACGTGATCGCAATGAACGTTCGTAACGATGAAGTTCAGACTTTAGATATATTCAGCTAATTGAAAGAGGTGATCTTTTAGGTGGCTGCGAATTCGTGTATCCTCCTAGTGTTCATTTCGTGTATCCTCCTAGAGTAATCGTGTGACACCGAACTGACAGAGCCGGCTTTTTTGATCAGTGGTATGCTGTGGTTACTTCAATCAATACTCGTAGACGGCAAATGTTAGAGCACTGTCTCTTGACAAAGAGACCACGGTACGCGTATGACCTTTCCTCCCTGATCCTTGTATTCTCCTCTAACCCTACTCACGCGTACATTTTCTTGCGCTGCACTACCACAACTGTCGCGAGACGAGTCCGGAGTTTAGAATATTGGTTTTGTAGTGAATTGTTGGCATTGAGGTGACCATTTTGTAGCTTCCATACAGCAGAAAACTAATGATGATGGCTAATCCATCGACATTTGCTACCGAATTTTTGGGAATGTCAACTCATATAATTATTTCCGGCACTTAGTAACGACTGCGGCAGCTCTCCGTAATGTTGTCTAGGCTATCCGGGACGAGCCGCGTCAATGTCATGGTAGCCAACGCTTAGTCAGCAGTATTGCTGAATCAGCGTCAGCAGTACGCTCTGAAGAAGGCCACAATACTCTGGCCGAAACGTTAGCCACCATGACATTGACGCGGTTCGTCCCGGATAGCCGAGACAGCATAAACTCCGGCCGCGGAAGCCTACGCAACAAGCTCTCCATAATCTCTCTGGAGAATCTCTGCGAGCCGATGTGTAGGTCGACACCGGATCTCCCGTATCCTCTGGGTAGGAGCACCAGCACCTGCTGGCCTCTATCATGCACTACCCTTACGGAAACAATGTCCTTAGCAGTTGATGCGCCCGGAAACAAAACAATCGTTCAACAAGCCACACGGGATGCGGAGCGGCTCCGCCTTCCACTCGTTCTCTCAACGGCCCACACGAAGCAAGGTGCGCCGCGACGGTTGAGAATAATAATAATAATAATAATAATAATAATAACAATAATAATGATGATAATAATAGTAATAATAATAATGATAATAATAATAATAATAATAATAATAATAATAATAATAATAATAATAATAATAATAATACCGATCAAATGGCCGAGACGAGATCGCTAAGGCAGTAGTGCCGTAGTGGTTTCGGACCAGAAGATCGCGGGTTCGAGTTCCGCCTCAGGCATTGGTGTATTTATCTATGTCTGTATGAGTGTGTCGTCCTTTCACCCCTCATTATCATCATTTCATCTTCCATACCCCACGGCTAACAACCCTGGGGAATAAAAATCGAGCTCAGCTAAATGCTGGTCCCTAATTAAAGTTACATGCACCTGCCACCGCGATACGATCGAGCACTTGTTCATACTGCACGGCCTGTGACGGAGTGATCAATTTTTCTGCGTGAATTCACTAATGATTATCTAAACCCTGTTGTGGCGTGATTAATTTCTTCACAGTACAATTTGCCTTGTCTTAAGGAACATATTCCAACATAAGAAAAAAATGCATTTTTCACTTCCTCTCTTTCCCCTCATGCAGACATGTTTATGAATTCGATTTATTACAATTAAAATGTCAGCAAATACGATAAATAAATTCAGTTCAAATAAGTAAAATAACTCGTTTTAATCCATATTTTGCTCAATTGATATGAAAATTACAATTTTGGAACTTTCCCGTTAATTTATAATTGCCATCAGTCACTCATATTTCATTGTAACGTTCTTTTTTTAGATATATATGTGCTTCTTGAGTAGCTGTATTACTAGTAGTAATAAGATGTGTAAGTCACATCGGCTAACATCCTGGAAATGTATTTTTTGAAGTTATGAAATATTCTAATTTTAAGCGATTGAGGCAAATGACCTAAAAGTACCACAATTCACACTGTTGTATTCTATGTAACTCTAAAACACATCACAATCATTTTCATATACACTATTTCTAGAGATTTTACTGGAAACCACTGTGCGTAGCTTTGTTAGCTTCTGCGAGAATGGAAGACGTAAGAAAAGGTTTAATTTCGTTTGGACAGAGGTAACTGTGACAACTTCTTCAATACTCGTTAAATCTTTCTCCAAGTAACAATCTTTGTCAATTGTGTGTCGTCTCTTTTTCAGAACACTCTTTTTTGACAAAAACTACTGAGATAGAAGAGGCGATGTTCCGTTGCCATTTCCATCAAAATGCTCTCCCAACTTTTCTTCGACTATTTCGCCGCCTGAACAATTACCCTTCTTGGGATTGCCTTTAATTCATTTTTTATATCAATATCGATGTGAGAGACTGCATTCAATTTCCTTCGTTCTGCTATCATTTGGAGATTAAGAAATTCTTGGTGAAAAATCAATTATTAAATTATAATATTTTTAGTTAAAATTACACAATAAATTTTTAAAAGAGCTCACCGCTTTAAAAGATTGTTTATGAGATACAATGAGCATAAAGTAAAAAAAATGTCGATACATAGTTGTTCACACAAGAAAATAATCAGTGAAATACGGTCCTTGTAGCTATAAGTGCGATAGATTACCAATTTAAACAAGTGAGCAAATCATTTCACAGCATGGATCATTGCATAAACGCCCAGGCATTCAATTTATGCGCTGCGCTGACACCACTCCGGCTTCTCCTCTCCCTGTAGAGCTGCCTACACCCCACCACCAATGTTGCCGTAAATTTATAATATGATTATGAATAAATAGTCCTCGTCGGAAATTAGAGGAGAACGTACTTTGGTTGCTCTCGCGGGCAGACGGCTAGCTCGTAAGGGCAGAATGCCCACGGGAGCAGGCGTTGTGCAGCCAAGCCCTAAATAACTAAAACGATAACTGCGTGAATAGATCGGTGTGAGGTTTTTTTTAATCATATTTTTCATTATTATTTACTGTAGCTCAAATTAATTAAGTTTCCAGTAGGAAAAGGAATATTGTTTATAGTGTGTGTGTGTTTGTGTGTGTGTGTGTGGAAAGTACCGAGTTCGTGATTGTTTAATCATTGTACAAGCAATGCAGCATCAGGAATAAATAAATTGGTAAACGAAGAAATTAGTTGAACGATTATTTATTGAATGTCATAATTTTAGTCAGCAATCGAAAAGAGTGATTGTATATAATTATAGTCAGCAAGGACTATAACCGAAATTATTCTATAAGAAGATGAAGATACGTGTGGTGGAAATAATAATATATTTAAATGATGAATATTCTGAAATTTTCAAAGACAAGATCGTGCAGGTCAAGAGTTGATGTGAATTCACATATATGCCAATGAACAAAACCTCTCATTGTCGTTGTTCCTTTTGTTCATCGCTGTGTTCGGCCATCATGGGGCTTTGCGATGCGTGCATCTCACCGGATCTCAGACTTGATTATCAGGGTAGGTGCAAGTTACTTTTCTATTGGGGGAATCAGCATTTTAATGCTGATTCTATTTTTACATCCCAAGGTTGTAAGCCCTGGAGGATGGAGTGAAATGACGATGATGAAATAGACACACACATACAGAGATACACACTTTTTTTTCCTCCCGCTACGTGCATCCTACCGGGGCTCAGTCTTGACTATCGGTAGGCGCACGTTACTTCCTATTTGGGGGATCGGCATTTCAACGCTGATTCCATTTTTATACACCAGGGTAGTTAGCTCTGGAAGAGCAGCTTGTGCTGGGTTCAATTTACCCATTCCTGCCACGTTAAGGAAAGAGCTCGGTCACTGGCGAGAGAGATATCACTCTGACACTCAAGACGGATATGGAAGTCTCAATTGTTCAAGAACTTGCGAACTATATGACATGTTTGTAGTAACACTTTCTGTTTGTAATTTAGTATGCGTTGAGGTAATGCAATTTTTTTAAAAATATTTCCTGAAATTGTTTGTTACTACACCTTCAGCTGAAATGGCACGTGGATATATCGTTACACTGTAGTTTCCACATTTGTTTTATTTACAGAGCAAAACCTTTTACTTAGTAATTTTCTCGGTCTCTGTTTTCTTTAGGTTACGGCAATATCAACAAGCAGAGCTTCTTTCTTGTCCCTGTCAATGAAAACTATGTCTGGTCTATTGAAGGCCGCTGTTTATCTGTCATTATGGCTCTGTCCCAATAAACGATGGTATTATTTGCATCCATTAAAGTGCTGGGTTGTATTTATAATACGGAGGAGCTCCACTATTTAACATTCCATTCTTGAGAGCCAATTGTTGATGGAAACTCTTAGCTAGTTGGTTGTGTCTCACCAAGTACCCGCTGTCGGCAAGTGCAGTACATCCAGTCATTATATCCTCGACTGTTTCACCACTGGTTGCTCATTTCCTGTATTTGTCAACCTCGGGCATGTTCATGCAATGTTTCTCGTAGTTCCTAGTTCGGCATACTCTATCTTGAATTGCCATTATAAATTCCTCTGTTTCTGGATATAAATAGCTGTCTGATAGCCATTGCAGTGAGGACTGTGGTTCATGTGGTACATACATGAGGTTCATGGATAGCTTTAGAAAATTTGCCTTGCATTGCCTTATGTTGTCACTCTTCTAGATCTCTTTGAATTGCCTCTTTTGGTATTGTTCCTGCTGCAGTTGCTGTTGTTCCTGTGTTAAATGCACTCAATTTTAGAGGAGTATAACTATCATATGCTTGTACAGCCATTTTCATTAAGGCTAATGCACACGAGAGTAACTTTTGCTTCATTTTTCTTTCTTGGGTTCTGCAGATATTTTCAATGTTTAGCAGTCCCCTCCCTCCTCTTCGGGACAGATATAGTATTTTAACAGTCGAGTTTGTATGAAGGCACCTAAGTTTAGTAAGAAGCTTCTGGTCAGTCTATTTGATTCAGCAATATCTGCACACGACCACTTGAGAATTCCGAAAGAATACGAAAGTGTAGGAATTGCCCAGGAGTTAATTGCTATGATTTGGTTCTCCCGTTTAATTTAGTGTTCAGAACTTCTGTAACTCATGATATATACTTGTCGGTCAGAGCTTTCTTCTTTCTTCATGCTGGAATGATCTATTCGGTAGCTTTGGGTCATACCTAAATATTTGTAAACTTCATCAGGTGGAAGTTCCTTGGTGACTCTAATTGGTTCATTATAGCTTTCGATTTTGCCCTTATGTTTAGACTATTACATTTGTCTAGTCCAAAAGACATCTTTATATCTTCACTGGACACTTTCACTGTCTCAATTAGATGTAATTTATTATTACTAGTAGTAGTAGTAGTAGTATTTAAACAAGGACATTCAATCCACGTTAAATGAGGACAGGCCGCAATATACTACCTGTACCGATACACAAAAGACAAAGCGTTTAATAAAACCTCAAACTGAATGTGCTTCGTTCATTTTCTTTTTACATCGTATACGTAGTATAGTGAAAGTTCTGTATTGCTGCAAAATATTTATTTGGAAATGTTGACGGAAATATACGTTTTGAGGATCGAAATACCGAAAATGTTTCTGTCCCAAATAACGTCTGCATTTTCTAATGGGTTATCCCTTAGTAAACTCGGAATTTTAATTTTATTTTGATAAAATATGTAATAATATAAATACTTCTACTATTTTTATTTATTAAACAATACCCCATACGTTCGCCCGGGATATTCACTGCAGATAAATTTATTGGTGGGCCGATAGAGTCGTCTGTACGGAATTGCGGAGACGAACTTTACGTAAGGAATACTCATCTTTAATCACTGCTTGGATTATAGAAATGTTGTCTACCGTTATGAAATCAAAGAGATTCGTTTTTTTTTAACAAAACTTTGAAATTTGCTTCTCCTTCTTGGCTTTCATAACAAAAAGCAACACATACAATATGTTTTACAACAATAGCAAGAACAACAAACAACACGAAAATCCTTATCAGTCAGCTTCTCCCACTTATACCATATTTACATACACACTCTCTCCTTAATTTCCCCCAACACGCATGGCCATATTACCTTATTATGCTACCTTGAATAACTTATCTCTAAGGACAATCTTCCTACAAGTCGGACTTATTGGTATTAGGGGGATTGGTGCAAGGGCAAATTTATTGTTGCGATACATTATACCAAAATACCGTCAGATAAATTTCTGAGATTGGTCGATAACTTGTTTCGTATTGGTACCCCCTTTGCCTATTCTTCACTATAATTTCTGATTTTAATTATTTTCATGGAAATTTCTCACGTGGCCGTTGTCACACTATTTTCCTTGTCTATTTATTATTCACCACTTCTCTTAATCTCCCATTGTTTATTTATTTACTATTCGTATACTGCTGATCCCTATTGTTGTTATTGAACACATTTTAATACTCTTATTTTTAATTATTTTAGTTTGGCCATCTAATTACCCATCACAATATCTAAATTGTACACAGGGTTTTTACCAAAATGAAAATTCCCTGATCGATATGGCTGATGTCGTGTCCCCTTGCATTTGGAACGGATACTTCAATTTTTGGAGATAAATAAAACCCACCGACATTTTCGAAAATTTCTCAAAATTTCTCCAATTTTTTATTTAAATTTGTGCTCCAAAGTACTCTTTAAAAATAGCGCAGATCCGATTGTTAGTAAAACCTCTGAATTTTTTAGATTGCTAAGTTTTTTAAACTTCTCTTACAAATTTATTTAAGGATACAAACTTTTATGAAATATTTGCTTCAAAATTATATGATGAACAATGAAACCAGCTGAAACGACCATCTCGATTAGACACATTAACGACCATTTCTTTCGTAGAACCGATTGATTTTTCATGACCACACATGTAAATATTTATTTTAAGCGGCCACGTATCTCTGCGGTAACGCCCAGGTACATTTGGGACACTCGTCTTTATTAAGCGGCCATCACAAGCGACTTTTAACCGTATTAGAATAAGAAACGGAAAAGTGATGGGTAGAAGTTTTGGTTTACTATCGTCTTGCGACTGGACGCATAGTCAGATGCTTTCGAACAGTGACATCTACAGTAGCTTATAGCGCAGAGAGATTAATTTATATATAGGGTAACAAAATATTATTTTAATAAAAGTCTCAATTAAATAACAACGAATTCGCTTTGTCCATCCCGCTGCGTTTCTGTGATTTATCAATCCTTGCTTTCCTTTTATGGGAATCTGTCAAGGACTCACAGAGCACGTCATATACGCGAATTCTATATGGTCACTCGTTAACTCCTTCGTCTGGCGGCCCTGGTATAACATTTTTACAGAATGTGTACTATTCCATCTACATTTCTAGATTGCTTTTTTGATTCAGTTTTGTAGGAAAATGAGTCTCTCGTGTAAGAGAATTAATGGCTACTCAAATATGTGTTTTGATATTAGCCGAGAGAAGGTAAGGGATACTAAATCCCCTGTTTAAATTTTATTTTGTAATTTAAGGTTTTAAAACATGTTTAATGAAACAGCAATTATTACAATTATGCTTGACTGACGCTTCCAGAAAACTCATAATTTTAATTAGGCAACCATATCAATTAACGACTAATTTTCGCAGTATTGGTACACTGTATGAGTACAGGTTTTACTGTATTGCTAATTTTTTAGATAAAATGAGTAGTTTTTAAGAGATGAATAAAATTGTGTCATTTTTTAATGTACAGTAAACAAGGTTTTTCTTTTAAAACTGCTCCTATTTTTTCTTCAACTTTTTGTTTTATTTGGGAAAAGTTTTCTTGATCTGATGACCCTTTTCCTTAAATATTAAAACTAGATATTTATTTTAATGCAATCTATATCTCAACATTATATCTTTAATTAATTTGATGGCCCCTTTTTTTAAGTATTAATAATATTCGCGAAATTTTCAGTTATAAGGAGACGAAGTTCAAATAATATCCGTAACTGTTTTCGAAAATAGAAGCTAAAAATTTGTTTCTAATTGCAATATATTTCTCAATACTGGATCTTTAAAACATTCAACTTACATTTTTTGAAAATGTTAGTAGTTTTCGCTTAATTTTGAGTTATATCGTGTGCGTGTTTTCAGTTTCGAAAAGTGGTAATATCCTACTATATTGCATCTTTTTGCAGGATAAAAGCTGCAATACAATAATACTACGTTGTTATTGTCCTGTTGTAGGAATTGACTTATCCACTAGCTAGAATGACTACATAACGTACCTGTCATTGTAGGTCATTACACGAATAACTTTTCTGTTACAAAATAATTCAATGATAGTGATGCGATATATTGAAATAACGCGCTGAATGCATGTCAGGAAACTTTGCGTTAACAATGTGAATCAAACAATTTTATTGTCCTAATAAAAAGTATGGATCTTCTCTGTACCATGTAATATCTTCTATTTATTATACATTTTCAGTTTTTTTATATATTGAACAATTTAAAGTAATATTTACTTCACTGGTTGCAAAATTCCCATTACAAATTAGTTGGTATAACTGTTCATACAAACAAAAGAAATCAGCTGTGCGTCGAAAATGCACAGTGCACAGGTGTCATCAAAAAAAAAAATTACCGGTTGTCATTGACGTACTTTTTGTCGACAATGGAGATTTAAACCTTAATATTGTGGGAAACGAATTTAGTGACAGAGGTAGTGGTATAGAAACGGTGCTTGGTGTATTTTGTTCTGCTAGTGCTTCCTAAAAATTTAAAACTTATGTAAAAAATGATTAAATATTTATCAGCTATTGTTGTAGTACTTTTTGCCATATATTTTTATGGATATCCATTGTCAGTTGTTCAAATTGCAATTAAGTACATTCCCTTCTTAGACAATAATGTTCAGAGTATTCAAGAATCCCGAATTCCGCCTGAAGATGTTAGTGACAAGAGTACAAGCAAGCAAATTTTGTTTACTGAAGAGACTTTGAAAAAGTACATTAATAAAAAAACAGGACTCTACTTAGCAATTTTGGGCGAAGTTTATGACGTGACTAAAGGAGAAAAGCATTATGGTCCTGGTGGGAGTTACCATTTCTTTACAGGTTAGTTTCAGGTATCAGTAGTAACTTAAAATGTATAATCTTTGGTGTTATTTGAACAATGAAGTTCAATGTGAATTTCAAGATCTAAACTTACATGTTACTGCATAATTTTAAAATTTATTGTTTTTAAACTGTTTACATACACCATTAATGTAGGTCGTGATGCTTCACGAGCGTTTGTTACGGGAGACTTCAGTGAACATGGGTTGAATGATGATGTGCTTGACCTCGAACCACAGGATATTAAGAGCTTGTTCAAGTGGGTATCTGTGTATAAAAAACAATACAAGTTTAAAGGTAAGGAGAAGATATTTAATTTTTTAATACTTGTGTAATGGAATGGCTTACATAATTCAGAAGAGGAAAATTGTTAGTGTGGGAAAGTAATCTGCTACATTGTGGCAGCATTGTGTTAATTTCCATTTGACTACCTTAAAAATAACCAAACCATGTCTGTATCAATTTCTTAGACACATTCTTAAAAATAGGTGTTCAGAAAATGTGTGTTCTTTCATCAAATAACTATTTAATCTGATTTTTCCTGCCCCTCTTTAAAAACATGTTTACCTCTTTATCTATAACTTGGTTATTTCCAAAAAAAGATAATGAATATTCAAGTGGAATGTTTCCAAAATTTTGAGAGCATTGTAGCATGGAATATTTTGACTTTTTTCTTTTTCTCTTTTTGTACAACACCAATTGTTTGAGTGCAAACTTTTTGAACAGGGAAACTTATTGGAAGATATTATGATTCACAAGGAAATCCAACAGGCTATAGATACAAAGTGGAAAATAAATTAAAACTGGCTGAAAGTGATGAAATAGCAAAAAACAAAGAAAAATTGAGAATGCCTCCTTGCAATACTGAATGGAATGTGGATCAGGGAAGTCGTGTTTGGTGCAGTAAAATGAGGTAACTAAACATGATTTTTAAAAAGTAAACTGTATAATATAATTAGGTACTTTCTACAAAGAATTAAACAGGCAGACAAAAGTCATTCTGTTAAAATATGCCACTCGGTTTAACTACTAATTAAATAATTTTTTCTTCTCAACTGCATTCACAATTTCAAATTGACTTCTGTATGAGCAAATAAAATATGTTTATCATTTTACAGACATTGATAATTCCAAGATTCAAAATTATACATATACTACCAGATTTATATATCTATTGACAGAAACTGAGCAAATTGAAAATAGTCTTAAGCAATTTCTCTTGGAAAATCTCTGGAAAGCATATCGGCAAACACAGAAGACAATCCTTTTAACTAAATTATTTCATAATTTTATATTTTAACTAAAACTAAATATAATGTAAATAATTTTACAGTGGAGGAATCCAGAGAGACTGGGTGGGTGTGCCACGAATGTTGTACACCCCAGGCTCAGACTCCTACCGATGTGCATGCATAAATCTGGATGATGCATCTAATCAACAATCCGGAAACTTAAAGGAGTACCCTGATTGCAATCCAAAATCTACTAGCTGCTACATCCAGCAATGAAAATCATAATTTTAGTAATCAAAGAAAAACTACTCTTTATGTGTATTGTTTGATCATGAACATTAAAAGACAACTGGTGAATTGAATTTTAGATTTCATCATGTGTATTTATACTTCTCAATCAAGTAGTATTGTAATGTTTTCTGCAGGTGTTCTCAAAACAAATTATACTGATGCAGGACCACATTTTTAAATCTTGTCATGCATGATTCTCTGATATGTTAATGTTTGAAGGACTTTTAAAACACCATTTCAAAGGATATCCAGGCTATGTGTAATAAATACTTCATAAAAAGAATTGGCTTTGTTACTTGGCATTAACCCTCTATGACCTTCTCTCTATAGTAGCTTGTACCATTTCCTATCCTAACCTCCTTTAGGAGATATTACTAAAACCAGCACCTCAAATTTTCAAGATCCTGATAAAAAAATTTATGAATAAGAATTGTGAAACTGTTTCAAACTGCCTCTTCAACCAGTTAATCTTTCATTCCTTACTCAGTGCAAAGAGCCCCTTTATTAGCACGAATTAAAAAAATTAGGAATTTAAAAATTAAATGGTATGGTGTCAGCAAAAAAAACAGTAGCCAACATACAAAATCAAACTGTTTATTTCCATCTTGTATCAAAAAAATTATTTCTACATTATTAGTACAAAACTTTAAGTCTCTTAATACTTGCATGGATTTAAAGCTTCAATATGAGTTCTTACAAAACTCTTTATCAGTCACTCAATTCAATATACACTCATCAATAGTCCAAGCCTTACATCTTGCACGATAGGTCTTAATGTACTGAAATTTGGGTTTCCAGTACCCAATTCATTGAAAAATATCATACAGATGTAATCCATATCTTTATTCCCAAATCATTTCTTATCATTTACTTTTTCTTTTCATTGCAATGTTCCTCTGTTCACAAAAACAGTTATTACCACAATCAAGATACAGAAGAGGTTGTGATTGTTGAAACATCTTTTGCATCAACTGTTGCATTAGCTTCTTTTGTGCCCATGAGTTCATGAAATTTGGCAATGAATTCTTCCATATTAACTTTTCTTTGGGCTCTTGTTCTACTTTTGTTTGTTTGCACCTTTAACTTCCAGTGCTTGCCTTTGGCTTTTGTAATACCACTGAACTGAATTTTCCGAGGCTTACAAGCACCTGTAAGCTTAATACGGCCGTTTTTGTAAGTGATAGGTTCTTCATAAATAGTTTCTAAGAATCTTGATGATTTGTTTTTAAATCTACGAGAAAAGCAGTCTTTATTGTGAGAAGACAGCGGATTGTTCAGTTTAGAAGGCTTCAGCATACAGCGCCTCTTCCGATTTGTTTCATTGGATGACTGATACCGCTGCCGTAATACATATAAGTTACAAATTTGGTCTTGAGGAGGACTTGGAGCATTTTTCGTATCAGAATCTTCGCTTATGTCAAGGGACGCCATTATGGAGGGCAGCTCCGATTCTTAAACAAAAAACAAAGGCATTTTTACTGCGAGTTACGACAATTTATATGATTACCACCACGTGCCCAACCAGTCAATCTGCCAATAAATTTTCAATCAGCACTTACATCGTATGAACATACTTGGATAAACTAATTCATGCAACCCACCATTCGTCATTTTAACATGTAAATTATTGCCGAGATTTATTTAGAGTATTTTACACACGCCACTTCTTCTTCAATGACTGTCTTAATCATCCTCGTATGACATTCACTATTCACAACTAAACAACATCAACTAAGTTCTCATGTGCTTCTGATACTGAGCTCATTGTTTACAAGCTCGCATGCTTTTGACATTCAATTTCGAGTTTCGATTGTCCACCCTATCGAATACAATTTGGGCCGGGCAGACTGTACCAAAACTGATAGTTCTCTGAAATGTAAAATTAGAAGAGATTTATTAACCTAACCAGTATTTTTAATCAAATGTACTGAATAATAGTCAATAAATTTCCATTCATGTTGTTTCTTGAGGAAAATTAGTTACTTTTGGTACGCATCGCACCATGGATGAATTTATGATCGCAACTCTTTGGCTCGGGCATAACATCAAGGCTAATCGAAAATTTCACTCTCGACGGGTAATGTCCTGTAGCAATTATTTATCAAAATTGAAAGTGTTTAATAATATGTTACACGAGTTAAATAGTTATATTAAGAGAATTCATCGAATGACTTCCGCGACAAAAGATGCGTATTTTAATAAAAACCTGCTAAAAGTTTATCATCAGATTATTTTAATTCTTCACAGTGCTAAACAAAAAGTTCCAAATGTATTGTCTTGTTGATTGTGTTACTGACATTCCCAAATAATGTGCCGGAATCAGGCAGTAGAAAATTAGAACAATAAAATTTTCTCATGTTTAGTATTTTTCGTGTTTTTAAACATTTTTATAATGTCTGCATACTGTTCCTGGGTTATGGCCTCTATTTCATTAAACCGTTGGGAGATGGTTAATGAAAAAACTAGTGGAGCTCAATAGTACATACTTCATCGCATTATTTCAAAATTAGCAATTTTCAAAAATTCATTGTTGAACGAAAATGAGACTCACAACTTTTTAGCGACCCTTCTATCCGTGAAAATAAAATAAAATTGGAAGCGGCTTCTGAGAAAATGATTTTTAGAAATTGCATTAATTTCAAGCGCAAAAACTTCTCACCTTTTTAAAAAAATTGTACAAGACGTTTTTGAACTACTTGATTTTTTTTCTCCCTTGTCTGAGGCAAAAATGTCTAACTTCAATTTTGCAGTTTTCAAATGTTAACTTTTTGCAATTTTCAAAAAAACAGAGTTTGCCGGAAATAGGACTAGCACCATATTTTTTACTGTAGATCATTAGAAGAAAATGTAAAGAAAAAAATGATGTGGAGCAGTTATTGAGAATTATTTTTTAATTGCCTGTATTTCGCGCAAAATTACACTACAAACACTTATATTTTCGGAAAATTGAACATGACTTTATTTCAAGACCTGTCTTTAAAGAAGAGATTTCATTAATGAAAAAATCTGTCTTTAAAATATTATAGTTTTGTGGAAGGTGCCCCTCAGCCGCCCCCTCGCCACATGATGACGATACGCACACACACACACACACAACAATGTACCTTTGCAATTTTCAAAATCACCTGCAATTTTAACAAATATGAGACTTACATCATTCTCTTAAGTGTCCTTTACCCTATCCAAAAACAAAATTCAACCAAAAAATTTGGTTCCATTTTTTTGAAATTGCCCCAGGTGCTTCATGTTAAGTACCTCCCAAAATTAAAATATGGGTTTCAAATTCAAGGAGCTTGTGACATCAGCCAGATTAATTGGAGAAAATGGACTGAATGTTTTGCCTTGACTATTTGGACAATACTCTTAGAAAGATAAAAAGTTTAATCAACAATTAATATAGATAGAAATATAATAGTTGACATACTGACATTTGTTGATGATTTAATAGTAACTCAAGAAACAGAAAATGACCTTCAGAAATTCATGATTTTCTGTTCAAATGAAATAATTCAATTTAGAAAAAAATGTACTGGAATGTGTTCAGTTTTAAATACTTTAATATACATCACATACAGTAATGAAGGCATTAAAGAAAAAAATTCCTATACATAGATGATATGATTAATATAACATAAAGAAACAAAGGAAGAACACATTTTTCAAATTTTATAAAGTTAAATCAGTTCTCAACTACTTGTATGGAAGTAAGTCATGGACCATTAAATAAAAAGAATGGAGTCAGTCAGCTTCAGGGTGTTGAAATGCAGTTCCTCAGAAGAGTGAAAGGATGAAGAAGAAAAGATAATCTAAAAAACAGCAGACATCAGGAAGGAATTAATTATAATTTACCTTGTGACAAAATAGAACAATAAAGAACACACTGACAAGAGCCTGTTGATAGGATTGAAGGTAGTTATATCCACAATATCTCTTACATTCTGAGAGAAAAAAGAGAAGTCATCAGACCTAGAAGCTGGTGGAATCCAACTGTCGAAGGGCCAGATCAGGCAAATGCCTAGACCAGAGAGTATATAAAAAATGCCTAGACCATGAAGTGAATATCCCATTATTATGTTTGTTTTATATTCAGAACCAACCAAAAGCTGAATGTTTCTAAGAAATCCCAACAATTTTTGGTAGTCTTTGTCCTTCACTGTTAAAAGACTTTCCTTTTTTATGCAGTTTAAAAATATTGTTTTAATCCTCTTCCTCCTGTTTACTGTGTGCAGCTTCAATTTCATTCTTATAAGGGCTGCAAGTCAAAATCATTGTCTTTCTATTCTTGCAATCTTGACGTATAATTTTTTTCTTTCTGCTCATGTAAAGGACAGGAATATTTTCAGGGCTAATAGTTAGGTCTCAATTTGATCTGGATTTTGGCTGGCACTATAGGGCTTAGGTTCAGAGGGTGTAAAGATTTTGTCATCTTTAACATCTTTCATACATCCATTATTGCTGAAGGAATTTGTTTTCAGTAAAAGAGTGAGTCACATAACTTTAGCACCTTCTGCAAGTTTTGAACAGTTTAAGTTATTGCAATGCAGTTTACAAAGTGCATGAGGAAATGGCTAGTTTATACATATTCATTGCCATTTTATCACTTGTATTTTACGAGAAATTGAGGTAACTTTGTGTTTTTCAAATGAAACTATATATATTGTTTTAGTCTATCATGAGTGTAAAAAGGCAGAAAATAAATAAATACAAGTGAAAAAAAAATCAAAATTACTTAAAATAATGTTTATCTAACAATATGACAATATGTTTATCATTGGATTCGTCTTTTTATGCTTGTCATGATGATCTTAAAAAAATATGTGTAGTTCCATTTGAAAAGAACAAAATTACCTCAATGTCACGTAAAATACAAGTGATAGAATGGAAACAATTACATACATCAATTAGTCTCATTCCTTCATACACTTCTGTGGAAACTGCATTGCAATAACGTATGCCATTCAAAAATTACAGGTGCTAATAAGGTGACTCACCCTGAATAATAACAAACAAAATATATTCATGGAATAACAGTCTATGTTACTACTTTATTAGTACAATTCATGAAAAGAAATAAAATGTAATGTTTCTACTCATCCTGTAAAATTTATAAACATAGACCATTATATGTCCCCAAAGTTTCGAATGATATTTATATTATGAACTATGATTAAACAGTTCCTTATCATTAATTAAAAAAAAATCTTATAAAATGTGTGATTTCCTTTCCTGAAAACATTTACTTTCTGGGTGTTTGCCCATGTCTACTTGCAAGCAGTTTCAAAACAAAGTGATAGCCCCCCCAGATGACTGTCCTTACCAAATTAATACTTCTGAACACTTAATCCTTTTAATCCATGCTAAACCCATTTTAGGGCTACTAATATCAACTCACTTTACGTTTCCTAACCTGAGAAAATGGCTGTGTTTTAAGTCGCTCCTGTGACCCTGATATTTATGTGATTTTGATTTCCAATACTACGGGTAAATATTTCAGTAATAAATTAGTAAGATTTCAGTTATTCAATAGCTACCTCAGAAAAGAATCCCACATTATGTGTTCAGAAAAGTTAAGAAATGCATGTAAAATCATACTTATCTTTTACCACTAAAATCATTAGATTTACAATGAAGCCTGCTGCAATGGAAATTTAATGGAAATCCACTGTTTGAAATGAAATATACTACAATAGGAAAATATGGTTTGGTTTAAGTGGCCCGGTCCAATACTGAACTTCTACCCACTATTTGAAGAAATCATGCGGGAACCATATAATCAGTCAGTAGTGTTGAGACATGATGGCCTAAATTTGTGATGCTGTTCTGACAAAAATCAAAAATTTATGTTCATATACGGTCTTCACAATGAGACCAATTGTTTCTCTAAAATAATGCAATAATAGCAGTAATCAGTGGTTAGAGTGATTAAATGTAGATCTTGTTCTAAGAAAATAAAAAAGGCTAATTGAAATTTACAACTGTTTGAAAATGGAGGGAAGCAGGAAAAATAAATAACACTTCAACAAATCTATTAGCAACACTTTATATAAAAATAGCTATTAGTACTCAATAACATATTTACAAATCATCCCTTTTTTTCATTTACATGTAAATAAGACATGAACAACTGAATTCTCGCTCCCATTACAATTCTTATTTATAACAGTCTTAAATTGGAAAATTCACGATTAAATCAACAGTTCTTAAAAATATTCCTAACTTAATAAGAAATAAAATAAACCTTAAAAACCATTTCACCAAAAGGATTTGAGTAGTGCACAAAATGAAAAAAATCATTGTTGAGTAAGTAAACTTGGTCTAGAAAAGCAGAAAGTTCAAATATGAATGCAACTTGTTAAACGACTAGAGGAAAGCATCCAAAATCTCCAATGAATTAGTTGCCTTGGAAAAATTAGTATTGTATTAAACAAGTTTACAGGTTCACTAATTCACAGAGCGCAAATAATATCCACATAAGAACATTCATTTTTGAACTTGCTTTTCGTTATTTTATACATTGCGTTAAAACTTACAAATTCACACTTTTTAAATGATCAGAACTGGTTTACAACACTAAGAAGAAAACATAATACATGTGTAATACAACAGATCAAAAAATTTAAAAAAATTCAAAATAAAAAATAGAAGACCAAGAAGTAAAAAGAGCAATGTTGTTGTAAGTTTATGCAGCAGCAGCCTGGACATCTTCTGTATTAACTTGTACACGTCCCATTGGTTTGAGATCGGGTGCTACAGCAAATTCACACCCAGTGCTGGAAATTATATCTGGCACAGTTACTCCATCTGCGATTTCAACCAGCGTTAAACCACCTTCAGGATGAACATTGAAAACTCCCTAAGGAAAAGACAAAGATAATTATTCTACTGCAAAAATTATGTATTCAACAAGACATTACAGAAGACAAATCTACCTTTTCTGTTATAATCATATCCACACAATTTTTGCCAGTCAGGGGCAGAGAACATTTTGATACAATTTTATGAGAGCCATCCTTTGCATTATGGTCCATTGTGACCACGACTTTTGTGCGAGGGGCTGAGACAAGGTCCATTGCTCCTCCCATACCCTTAACCAATTGACCCTGTAGACATGACAAGGCACATCATAACAATGTTCTTCAATAACACTGCATATTTAATGAAGCCATTATTCATTCAATAGATATTCTTGGATACATTTCCGTGCAATCTATATCATAGCTTTAATTTGGAGCATTCTCAAAGGTTATTACTTTGAAATGCTATTGAATCCTTAAGGCGTAAATTATTGCCAGAGTCAGAAAAAATAAACATCAACTCATTACCTTACTGAATAATTCATAACTTCAAAAACTTGAGCTTACCGGTATCATCCAGTTGGCTAAATCTCCATATTGTGAAACTTGCATAGCTCCCAGAATTGTCAAATCAATATGACCACTTACAACAAACAAAATAATACAATTACATTCAAATCTGACTATACCACCAGAAAAATTATAAAATAATCATAAATATAAATAAATGTCGGAAGAATACACAGACAAAAAAAAAATTGTTGATCTCTTCATTACAATGTCTTTTTAATCGCTTTTTGAGGCAATTTGACATAGCTGGGGTTCGGATGTTAGTTTTTCCTCTTTTGTTTATTTGTACTGCAATTTTGATATTGCACATTTTAGCTTTATTTTGATTCAAGTTTGTTTTTATAGGTCATACAATAATAATTATTTTCATCAATTCGGTCTGTCGTCAAATTTTATATAAATTTGAAACAATTTGCTTTCCAATCACAGCTCATGTCATTACAGTTTTAAATTTTTGATGACTCATAATTGCAGCCTACATCATGGATGTGACATTCCTGATTTTCAGTATATAAGAAGTGTAAGCACTTCACTTGCAGTATGTGGGAAGGTGATACATTACTTTTAAATGCAAAGACAGACCAAATTCTGTGAATGAAAAGAACCACTGTAACCTCACTGATTAGTTGTAGTTCATTAACGGGAAGAACATCAAGGAAAAAAATAACACATTGCCATGATCATGAACAGCTAAGATCAGTTTTTCAAAAGCCAAACACCAAACAATCTTTGCAAACTTTAAAACATCCTATGATACAGTGCACCAAGGAAAGTTTCTCTGCAGTGGCACCATGCTGATTTATTATCAACACAAATTATATTGGTATCACAAGTACCAGACAGCGTTGGGACCATCCTACAAGGTGTAGAAGCAGTGGTGAGAGGGGAGGGGGCGAATATATGTAACGTGTGGAAGCGGTAGCAGCAGCAACCCCCTACTCAGCTCAGTGCGTAGAATCTTTCCTGGCGTGCTGAGTTTTATTGTTTTCTCAGACGTAACTGTCAAACTGAAATGTCAACAAAAGCAAATAACAGTTCTTTACTCACCCTCTAATCATTGCAAAACTATCATCACTGCTGAAGTACGCAGCACCTGTTTGGACAGTTACAGTTTCTTTTCCTGCATTAATCAAATCTGCATCCACCTCTTCCTGAGTAGCTGGAAAAGGACCTAGTCCCAAAATTCCATTCTCACTTTGAAGATTGACTACCATTCCTTCAGGAATATAATTGCTGGCAAGCATTGGCATTCCAATTCCTAAATTGGCTGCAATTCATTAAGGAAATTATCTATTTAATATTGCTGGTTGAATTCGAAAATCCAAATCCTAAACGTTCTTGAATTTGACGAGTTGGATTCTGAAGCTCACTAAGTCAGAAATTTCTTTTCTTCAGAAGTGTTGAAACCTTTGAATAAATGTCCAAATACAATTTTTCCCCCCTCGCTCAATAACTTAGTAACTAAATACTTTTTGGAAAACATGTCTATCTGAATAGCTCCATCTCGGAGTGATATTTTGTGATAACCACTAAATAAAAAATTGGCTGAGTGCTTATTGGAATCCAGCTCTTCATTTCTCCAATTTAAATATTTATACTGTAATTGCCCTTATATTCATTAATTTAAACAATGAACAAGGAGGAAACCCATTAAGTCTCAAGGAGCCATTAAATTTCAAAGAGAAATTTACATAAATAAGAAAATATATAATTAAATTAGACAGTGTATACTTAAAGTTCTTGAATACATTAAGGAATGTTATATTGTCATGTTAAATTATATCCTTAGTTATGTTTTGAATACATAAGAAGGATATGAAATTCAAGAAATGTGGAATATGGAACATGAGAGTAAAGCAAGGAGAATAAGGACTTCAATCTGGGAGAAGTGGCAAGGTATCGTTTATGGTCCCACATTTCTTTACAAGTATTCAATTGTAGTTTCCACAATCTGCGAGAATAAGACATCACAAACCTCATCTTTAATCTGGATGGAGTAAGGGCTTCCTAGATGTCATTAGGAACTAGAATAAATCATTATTAATTAACAAATCATGGGAAAAATGTTCCATATGACCCCATCAGCGGTACAAAGAGTTATGCGTCAGTAATGCTGATACTTGAATCGAAAGTAGTTCTGTGATTATGAAAGTGCCTCGTCAGTTTTTGTTCAAGCAGGTGGTGTAAAATTTTATTCATACATTTGCCTAATACAAATGGAAGGAAAAGAAATTCATTACTCTTTGGAAGTAGTGCTGATTGTTCTAAGCTGTGTACAATAATGAGCAACACACATTGTGTGAGTCATTTTAAAAAAAAATTCGATTTATCTGATACCTTTTACATTACATTTTTAGAATAAATTTTAAGAGAGCCACTTTTATAAAATAGAAGGTTTTTGATTGATGTTATATCCATCCTTTACAACTTCTTTCACTTCCCAGTACTGTGTATGCTACACTTAAAAAATGTAAACATTATTAATTACTAAAAATTATGATTACTACTCATTCCATTAGTTCATTATAGGGCATAGTAAGTGACAACAAGTCACTTGCATGAGACACAATTGACTTCCCACCATCTCCATTCTTCCATCAATGTTACTCAAACAAGCCCCACTCCCCAAGGTTATTTTTCCTATTAATATTGTTATTATTATAGTAATTTCATTGAAGAATTAAATTCAAACTTTTTGCCTACCAACATTTTCATTTTGCTTCAGTTTGTTACTGTTTCACATAGAATTGTTGTAGGGGTGAAACAAATGTTAGCACTTGAGTGGACCTACTTACATTACATGTTGATATTAAAAAACAAATACATATGAGCTACATACGAGCATTTATACTGAATAACATCAAATTTAATGTTTTCTACACTATTACACTATAGAAGCAACAAACACTTACGTATATAGACATATCATTTTAGTTCAAGGACATAGAATGCTAAACACCAAGATTCTTTCAGACAGACGAATTTTAATAAAGGATACCATACATTCCATTCTTGAATTCCAAAGCTGCTCTACGAATAATCCTTTCACGACGCTGTGCAGCTGGATTCATGGATGCTGCAGATCCTTCTTTCTGTGGTTTCCTAATAGTTACTCGCTAGCAATGAATTTAAATGGGAAGTTAGTGCATGATGTAACATTGAAACAGTCAAACATAACTAAACAACCATTTCTTCAAAATTATATCTATAATCACCTCAATTCGTTTTTCATATTTTTCCCCAACAATAATTCTATCCACATATATTCCTGGTAGGTGAACTTCATCAGGTTGGATTTGACCAACCTCTACCAACTCTTCCACTTCAACAATAGCAATTTTTGCTGCTCTGCACATAGCAGGATTGAAGTTCCGAGCACTTTTCCTTTAGAAAAATGTAACTGTCATTGTAAGAGATAGCAATTTCATGGTAATAGCTATAATTCAGTAAGTATGACACTAGTTTAGCAGTATTTGAGAGCTTTTTGGCTCTGTAACCCTCGAATTGTACAAAGATATTGGCAAAACAAAAAAGTATCTTGAAATATGAGATCAGAGGTATTAGATATGTATTAAATAGCAATAATTCTACTCTCACTAAAATTTTAATATCAAATAATTTCCAATAAATATTTTTAATATTTAAAAATATCATTTGTATTATAGTGAACAATTATTTCACAAAATCGAATTCAACATAAATTGAAATGAAAATAACAAGGACAGTTTCACAATGAAGAATTTATAATAGGATATACAGAAGAATGTGAAAGAATGCTTTGAAAATTTGTACCACTGTGTATTCACTACATCACTCATCTCTCAAGCAAATCCTGCATTTCTTTCTTTTCTAGCAGTGTCACAATAATATTTATTATCAACTCCTAGACCATACCTAAAAATGAGATTTCCAGCAGTATCTGCTTTCCATGCTTTAACCAATGCATAATCTCCCGTTATTGCCTTTTCCAAGATGTAATTTTCTCCATTGAATATATCTGAATTCCTTCTCTTACTAGCCAAAGCCACAGAACCATCCTCCTTATACTTAATGGGAGCACCCCCTTCATGAATAAGAGTGCCAAAACCAGTGGGAGTATAGAAAGCAGGTATACCAGCTCCTCCAGCCCTCACTCGCTCTGCTAAGGTTCCCTGTCACAAAGAGCACTTTAATTAAAACACAGCCAAATAAAAGAAACAGTTCTCGACCTAACATACTAAGTATTTGTTTGAAGGTTTTTTTCAAATAATGTTTTAAAATATTACACATCATTTTATAAGAACAGAAATCCTTAACATTTTGAATATGCTTCACTCTAAGAGAGGCAAATGGTTTTGTGAAAGGAATGACCAATCTCTATTTTAAATAATGTGAAATTTAATGATCTTTACTGGAAGAGAAATGAAGAAAAATAAATTTCCTTTTATAGGTTTGTAAACATGTGGATGTTAAGAAAATATTTTCTTCTTTACTTGCAATTTATTTATTATTCAGAAAAGAAGAACAGAGTTCACTCTCAAGAAACTACAAAAATAAAGGCTAAGACCTTATGCATTTAAGACTAATGTTTAAGTGGTTTAGAGAGAGAAAATGATTTTTACAATGACAAGGAACAGTCTGGTTATCAGCACTTTCATTCACATCTAATCTACATAACAATGTATGTTCAGAATGGATTTAGAAATAAAGATTGTGTTTATGATTATGAAATGATATTTGAATAATCACATATCACAGTTCATAATCATTTTGTTAATTGATGTATTTTAAGACAAGTTTTTCAAGAACTCCAAATAAATAAATCTTTTTTCATAAATCGATAGATTATAAACACAGAGTGAGGATTCTCATTCTCATAACAAAACATCATACCTGAGGAGTAAGTTCGACTTCCAATTCTCCGGCCAAATATTGTCTCTCAAATTCTGCATTTTCCCCAACATAAGAAGCAATAATACGTTTAATACGTTTTTGTTGAAGTAAAAGTCCCAGACCAAAATCATCAACACCTGCATTGTTACTAACAACAGTAAGATCTTTTATGCCACTCTGCAGTACAGCACCAATTAGATTTTCAGGTATGCCACAAAGTCCAAATCCTATTGAACACATCACATCAGTGCTTAAGTAGATGAGGGATTATACACAATGATTATGTAACAATTCAAATTATTTTATCACAACTGCAAGTATTTTAAAAATTACACTGCACAATTATTTGCGATTTCAAATTTAATTAAATTGTGTAGATTGATTCAATCTTCTATTTAACATTTTACAGTACACAAACAATATTTACCTCCTACTAAAAGTTTTGCTCCATCCGGAATGTCTTTTACTGCTTCAACAGCATTATTGTAGCACTTGTTGATTTTCCATCTCGATGAACTTGAAGAGAATGAACACGCTAAAACCTGACACAGCAATCAATAACTTTGAAAACATATTCTGAACAACATGCGCATTTACAAACATTAGTTACACCGGTGTCCCTACCTTAGTCAGCACCGAGGGCGACGTATGAGGATTAATAGTACGTGGAAATCTGAAAATAATTTTACACGCAGTAGAATATGCCATCGGTATCATCTTCACTCACAGTGAAGTCTCTAACGTCACTAGTAGAAAACACGATGCAGCACAACGCACAAACTACCAGTTTTCAAGGTTCTGCGAGGTTATATCCGCAGGATCTCCGGCCAAGCAACACGATAACCTTCGAAGACTCACATTACCATTCACAGGTTCGCAAACTTTATGAAACTTTCATATTTTATAAAAACAGTTTCTAAAATAAAGTAGTTCGAATAAACTGACATATTTATAAAATAAACTTATTCATTGTTTTTGACATTGTTAAAATATATTTTTGATAATAGGAAAAAAGCAATGTTGGAAACACTTTGAAACATCAACGTTTACAACACTGTGTGCTGGTGAAGAGCGGGGTATTTGAAACTGAGGATCGCAAGGAGCAAGTAGTTTTAGATGCAGTTTTAATGCATTTTATTGTTACAATAGGAAAATTGGACAAAGAACATTTATTTGTGCAACAATATCATTGAGACAAAATTTATTTTCAAAGTAACTATTATGCATGATGACTAAAGGTAAAAGTAATGTAACAGAATTTCATGAACAACATTAAATTACACAAACAGTTTAATTTGTAGAGGTAAAGCAATGGAAGTAATTTAACAATGAGAGATAAATAATTTTATTACTTGTAATTATCATCTGTAACATATTTCACATATCTTAAAAGTACTTAGTACACTATGTAAACTCATCACGTCTGTAGCATGCCATTGTTACTAAACAATATCTACAAATAACGAATTTCTCACTTCATATACCACAATTTATGATGCTTCTCATACATCTCATTAATCACAGAGTTATTAATATATAATAGTGAACCTGAATTATATTAACATTGAATTCATGACTCTAAACAGAAAATAATTATTTCCAATTTCACTATCAGCATACTGGGTATGAAGGATAAGAAAACAGGAACTCAAAAAATTACTGGGATGAACTTGACAATAGAGTATTAAATAAGAGATAAATACTTATAATACAACAAATGAATTTCTTGCAGAAGGAAACTGTGCAGTAATACATGTGAAATATATCTTTCATATACTCATTTTATAGGATGCATAATAAAAGACAACTCGGTTTGAAATTGAGAACAGTTGTGAATACCTTGTCAATAAAATTCAAACATTGCAGTCATAACCCTGTAAGATAATTATGTATATATTGACATGCTGAGGACACATTGAAGATGGTGGGGTATGAAGTGAGATTTGTTTTCTGGTAAAAAAATAAACTGTCCACTTGAGTTCATTTCAGTGTTCACTTCAGGCGCCCTGATCGAGCATCTGTCACTGCTCCCCACAACTCAATGATGAAATCATCTGTGAAGCCAAATTCTTCTAAATCAGAACTGTCAATAGCATCAGCAAATTCCATGCTGTTGTTCTTGCCTTCAGCTTGTTCCCAAATACGTGTAGCTGTAAAATAAATAAATAAGTAAATAAATTAATTGATTAAATATCGCAACAAATTATATTATTTCAAGAACAGTAGTTTTGAACAGCACTGATCTGATCTAAAACATAAATTGGAAACACTTACCAAGTTCGTTATCATTAATTCCAAGGAAACTGTCTAGTAAAATATTTATCTTCTCAATACCTCGAACCATGACTTCTCCAGGCTGTACACAAAAAATACACAAATCATCACGACTGTATTAATTAACATTATTTTTGTCAAATATACAAACAAAATAAATAGCAAACTTACTGCTTCTTGTATAACAGGTGCACCAAGAGGAGAAAATCTAATAGTCTGCATTTTCTCAATGCCATTTGGATCTTTCTTGCGAACGTTACTTCCCCTCTTACCAATATCTGAAAAAATCCATTAGTATTTGGTAAATATTAGATTATTTTGTATTGGAAGCATTGCAAAAATATAGCAGTACCTGAAAGTTGATACAGAACATAAAATTACTGTGTAACAGCAAATTTCATAACAACTAGGCTCAATGGAAATTATTATGCTCAACTTTTTTTTTCTCATTGAAAGGTCCATATATTTTTCAACATTAAGTTGTTCTTTTATTGTTAAATATTTAAAATGACATCTAACTTAAGTTGTACAAAACAAACCATTTTACAAATATTTTTCTCCATATGTGAATTATGTTGTATGTATTGAACATTACAAAGAAAATAAAGAAGGACTCACCATATTTTTATACTTATTTCACTGACATTTTAAAAATGAACTTGCTGTCTCATTTATTCTCAAAATATAATCTTATTTTCACTCCGTGCTTTGAAAAACTGAGATAAATCATATTAAAAATTTTCGGAAATTTTGCCATGTGAAAATAATTCTTAATATTAACAAACATAAATTATCAATTATTTTAATTTTTTTTTTGTTTGTTTTTGTTTGTTTGAGAATATTAAGAACAGCAAATTACGGCATCATTTGGCCTGAGTTGAAACTGTGAATTTGAAAATCATTCATTAATTTTTGGGGATACTTTATAAGAAGCCTCTGAGACATTTTTAAAAATTTTCTCAAAGCTGGCAACACATTTTCTTTAAATTTCTTCTAAGAATATAGTAAAATACTCTTATAAACGTTGCATATGATTTTCATGGTTAACAAAAGTTTGAATTTTTTTTCTGGGGTCTTCCTACAATCTTTGAAATTTAAGATGAAGATTTTTGCTTTAAATGATATGTGTTGCCCATAATTTGTTCTTTCATTAAAGTCATGTGCATTTTTTTTTTTAATTTTGAAGTCTTTGCACAATATTGTGTGCAATTTAAAAAAATTACAAAACAAAATTTTCTCAAAAACGGCTCCAATTTTTTTTCTTTAAACTTTTGGTAGGGATTATGCTAAATGCACTCTATAAGATGACATTAACGCCATATTGCTCTATTCTTTTTTTTTTCCTTCAAAAATTACAGAAATGTAATATTTTTGACTTGTCTCACACGTCGTCAACATCGTACATTAGCGGCAATTTTTTCACATTTTTGTATTTAAGAATTCATGTGCTTTAAATAATGTCATATAAAGTAATTTTTTGAAAGATCTCTCGTGCCATTAATGTGCATATTTCCAGCAATTTGTAAACACTATTGTATGTATGAGTTCAAGTGCTTGAAATTACTTCAAATGGAGTTTTTTATACAGTCAAAAATTCTCTGCGAGAAAGTGCTTCAAATTTACTGTAGCTCTTCAAAACGGTTCCAAATTTTTGAAAGAAAATTGCCCTTTGGAACGAGGTTTACTGTTCTCTAATATTCTTAAAATAATATTTTCGTTCTACTATTAGGAAACCAAAAAATTAAGAAAATTAAAAAGAAAATGTACTTAGGGCGGCAATAGATGATAGCAAGTAAGAGTTTGTGACAAGTTGGAATAGCTAGCCGAGACGAAAGGAAATAGAAAACTAACAAGGGAAAGTCATTCTAGCGCCGTTAGTTATATTTAAATCTAATTTTACGATAACTAGAATTAAATTTAATTTTACTCTACGAGTATTATGACAGATACAATGAGTGAACTACTACGTACACCATTTCATTTTGGACAATGGTTTACCTTCCTATGTTGACTATCGTTGTACATCGTTGTGGTGAGAAAAATGCAAGTAAATTTAATTCTTTGTGGTATGATTCACACAAGTGACTAACATGTAGTGAAGTTAAAGCTAAGCTTTATTATTGGCTATTTCTATTATTGTCAATTAAGAACAGGAATTGGAATAGAGTTGGATATTTGGACATAAAAATGTATCACGGATTATACAAAAACATGAAATAGCAAAAGATTACATAGTATGTAATTCAGTGAATCTTCAAAGCCTAGAAAAAATTGAATCCGATTTCTGAATTATTGTCATAGCAACACAAACTCACACCTTTTTATAATCTAAATATCTTGAAATCACGTCTGCGCGTGTTTTATGGATAATTTTTGGAATATTATATCAGTGAGACAATTGTTTTGAATAAATTGAATAAAATTATCAAAAATTGGATTCTGGCGGAACATGGCCCTCGTTCCCGCTTTCCGGGATCCGCTAAAATGTTGTTCAGTAAACTTTTAGTTTACGAGCCGCCTCTGCCTTACGCTACCATTGCAACCATCTATTCCTCATCTTTGTTTAATCTCGGTTGTACGTAGAATAATTATGGCAACGATGACATCATAAACATTGATGTGATATTGGTTAAAGAGATAGCTTTCGGAACTTCAAAGTTCTATTGACCATGTATCTGACATCTTCAGTATGAACAAGAATTCAATTAATATTGTCAAAAATTAACTAAGGAATCCAAAATGAAATTAATACTAACAACGTACACAGGGCAATTCAGAAGAAATGTTACAAGCTTTTAGGGCATATTGAGGGTCGAAGATGATCACTTCGGCCAATTATCTAGTGGAGAGAAATGTAATCATGAAAGTAAACACGTCGCCTCTTTTTTGACACGGCACCCCTGATTGGTAAGTAACTCAGCTTGCATTTTGCAGAAGCAGGAAAGACCTGCCCACTGCAATAGTTGAGTTTTTATCTGTATTGTTCAGCGTCTGAACGCGCATCGCCGATACAATGCATGTTTCGAATCTCATAGCCATCCACGCAAACAAATTATGTTGTTAAATGTAGTCAATAAAGACAAAACTATCAATGTTGTCATTGTCAGTCGACAAGTCCTTTCCTGAGAGTTAGTGTACTGCAAAAAGCAGTGCACGAGTTGCCTACCAATGAGGCCCGATAACTGGTGGATTAACCAAGGCAGTACTATGCAATTGTCTAGAGCCTTCGAGGACAGGGGCCCCGGCATGAAGCTTTAAGAAAAAAATATTAATTAAATAAATCAGACACTTTATTTTTGTAACCGTGAATTAATTTCTGTGACATTTTGATCTCATAAATATAACTACCAAATTCTATGACAGCGTATAACGAAAGCGAAAAGTTAGTTTATTTTAAATCGTGAAATCTATTATAATTGAAAAAACAGGTTATTTGTTTACACGTTGTACGGGACTTCAAAAATGTAATACAATAAACTACAGCATATTTTTAAAAATGTTAACGTATACCTAATAACCCATAATATTGTGAGGGGGACAGCCAATGAAAACAAGGGAAAAGGATCTCTACTTTGCAATCGCCTAGTGCTCCATCGAGTATTACTCGTCATCCACCACTGGGCCCGAGATGTCAAAAATTGGATCATATTTATCTTCGTTACATGCGATTTCCCTCCATGCGTTCATTGTTAATAAAATTATCATCTTCGACCTCCCTACATGTGCTGATAGTTTGTAATATTGACTCAAGAATAAGCTGGACGCGAATTTAACTGAGCAGTTATATGAACTTACTGAATCCATCCTTCAAAGGCTCCACAAGCCTAAGTGTGAAATTACTGTCACGTGGAATTTCCTTCAACATCTTAGCCACCTCGAAATGACGTCGTCCTACCAGATTAACATCGTTGATCTTCTCGATATGGTCACCAACCTGAAAATGCATAAGATTCACTGATTAGTTTTTAAAACTTATAGAAACAGGCTACCACTGTAAGATCCGCAGATGCAGCACCCTCGAACTTCAAGAAGCAAAATCTTGACTCAGACAGATTTTCCTGTGGTAAAAGTTTGGTGAACAGATAATTGGAAATGTGAGACGCATGTTACTTGCGTTTGTTTGATCCACCAAATCGAAACTACTATTTCATACATCTATATTGGTATTACTACATAGACTGTTGCAGGGAATAGCGCGCTAGCTCTGACAAGGAGACAATTAACGTCACTACGAGAAAGAATAGGGAGTTTTAGCGGCAGGCGTAAGGAGATATCCTTAAACTCAACTAACGCCATTATACGGTCGTAATGAACAACGTTCAGAAGAGTTTTAGCAAATTGCGACATTGCGTTATGCATTATAACAAAGGAAGCATTTCAAGCGTTGAACAGAGAAATAGCATACTACATCAAAGACTAGTGGTGAGACATTTAAAACACGTTAAGAGTCAACAGAACAACAAATATACATTGTGAATGGAGTTTTAGATTTTGTGGCCCGACGTGATGAGTATGTAGTCTGGAAGTATGAATCTGCTTTCCTTGAAAATATAGGAAATACCTTAAAACAGCGTTCATTATGAGCGCAAGACATAACCTATCGCGAAGAATTGAATTAATGACAGAAATAATGGTTTGAACTAATTTTTCGAGAATTTCTTTCCTGACACCTTTCTCTCCCGTTAATTTTTGCCAGCGTTGTGGAGTTGGTAAGAAATAATTTTAACTGCCTCACATACGAGAATCGGATTGCCAGACTCTGAAAAATTCAACTTTTCCTGTTTTTAGGCGGCCATTTTGTCGCTTGGAAAGTGACCGTAGAGACTCTCATAGGCGAGCACTAATTATGAAGGTGTAAGGTCGTACCTTACGCCCAAGGTAAGACGTTATGACTTCTAAGTCCGTCACGTGACTGATAGGGCATAACGCCGCTACCTTACGCGTGGCGCTAAACTCCCTAATAACAATAAACAATGGCCAGGGGTAGAAACAAACGTGTACTCGCATTCCTGCATGTTTATTGCAACCCTTTAACCTCAGATGTGCTGCCAGTCACTTTTGGTCGTGGGCGTGAAGCAATGATGTTCACAACAGAAAACTGACAAATCGTAATATGTAAATTTTTCCGTGGAAATTAATTCAACTGGTTTTCGCCATACACAACGCCATTTTCTGTCTTAATGTGTACCTTACTGAACTTTCTCAAATGAAAACGGGTGAGGGCTCGAGGAGTGTGGTTTACGCAAGGATTCCTTATCATTTTCTTGAATCCACCCGTTTTACAAAAATGATTTGCTTTATTGATACCCTTCAATTTTTTCTGTAGTACACCGCATTCAACATAATTAAAACAAATAGTTACACAATAATAACAAAGATAACAATTAGACAAAGAATATGTACATTTTTTTAGTAAAAATGTTTTTAGATGCACTTTTGTTTTCCCACTATTATCGTTTTTAATTTTTATAAATAAAAATAAATTTTCTGAAACGAAAATCACAGATCCAAAAATTGCACGAAAGTTCTATCATTTTTTAACGGAAATTATGTGAAAAATTTCAGAAGATAAGAAAATTTGTAATTTATTATTATTATTATTATTAGATATCTTGACGCTTTATGTCAAAAAATTAACCGACCTCTCAACAGTCATTGACTCCCTTTAACATTTTATTCCAGGGGACGATTCCAACCCCGTCGGGAACCCCTGGGCTATCACGTGCACTTTCTACCGCTTGGGCCTGGGTTCGATCCTTCGCCAATCGATGTGGTGGAGAAAGCGGGTTCGCGGCAAGTTTTCTATAGGTTCTCTCGTTTTCCCTGCCCCTCACTTGCCAATTACATCATTATTCTCTCCATCCTTGTTTTCATCTATTCATTAGATCAATGCTAGGTCTCAATGATCTTAGGAGTTAAAGAGACCCTTAACTCAAATAAATAAAACGTACATAAAAAGTACATAAATAAATACATAAATAAACAAATAAACTAGAAATCACTTACCTGAATGACTTTCAGGTTGTCAATGACACTGCCTTCTTTGATGCGTTTGATGAACGCATATCCGGCGCCGTTGTCAGTGATGGTAAGACCCAAAGCATCTTCAGTCTTGCGCAGCTCAATCTCCTTGGGGCGGCCTACGGAGGAGCAGAAACTCGTGTAAGAGGTATCATGCACAAAAATATTGTCTTCTGCATATTTCTGTTATTCGTACTGGCAGTGATTCGGCGAAAGTGAATTTTAATATTACCATATGCATTTACTGTTACAAATCCAGTTCGTATCATAAAACGCGTAGGAAGATAAGAGTAGGTTGCTCCAGTATCTCTATTCTTTATGGGCTAGATAGCAAGACTGGCTGGTGGGTAAAATAAAAATACGATAAAGTAAAAATATAACGTGGACTGCTTTAATTTAAAGTGAAATATGATAAAGTTTGATTATATTATGTTTTCAAAAGCATTTATTTTAAACGATGTTCCATAATCTGATGAATTAATTCGACATTTTAGGAATTTAATTCATTTTTTTAAAATAATACATTATCCAATATTTGTAAACACTAACGCAGTACTCTGATGTTTGGATCTATTGACCCAAAACGTGGGAAAAGTACATTTTATTTATAATTTAACGTTCAATGCAAAACGAAACCGTTAAGGCACAGCATTGGAATTAAAACAGTAAACACCCCGTTGCAAATCCAAGAAAGCTTACTTGGTTAACATGAGCAAAATCTCGTTTCCCCATCAGCAAATTGAAACGAGTTCAATTCGCAAGTATTTCAGAAGTATTTCCATTTACTATTAGACACTACATACAGAATCAAGAAACATTTTAATATTAGGTAGCTCGAAAATTTGGAAGATGATAGATGGATTCGCGGTCTTTCATGTAATAAATCCATGCAAGATATACAATTCATTATTATCACGTGCAAGTGGGCGACGGGGGCGGGCGACGGGGGCGGGCGAGACGGGCGGGCGAAGGGCGCGGGCGACGGGGCGGGCGACGGGGCGGCACGGGGCGGGCGAACGGGCGGCGACGGGGTGCGGGGACGGGGCGGGCGACGGGGGCGGCGACGGGGCGGCGACGGGGCGGCCGACGGCCGGGCGACGGGCCGGGCGACGGGGCGGGCGACGGGGCGGGCGACGGGGCCGGGCGACAGGGGAAGGGCGTGGCCCGGGCGGGGCAATGCAACGCCGCGCCTACGCATAGTGAGGCGGCGCTCACGCCCTCCCGCCGCCCACGCTTCGCCACTGAACTCCAGGCGCTTTATTGCCTCCGCTAACACGAAGAGACACCACCAATTAGCCCACAATTCACAGCGAGGAGCGCGTTCGTTCTTGTTTGTGGTTGTTTGCGTATGCTCTGGTTCGTTTTAGATGAACAATATCGCCCTCATAGAAAAGTGCAAAATACTCCTATGCAAAAAATGTTCACTTGAATGTGAATTTATTAATAACTAGAGACTAATAATACTTGAACGTATCTGAACATTTTAATATGAAATTAACCATGCACAAAATATGTATGTATTAGGAAGTACTATTTGTTTAAAATTCTCAAATATCACATTAAAATATGCTTCAGATTCTATTTAATTAATGATTAAATGAGTAGTGATTTCTATTATTCATCCATTAAAAAGCAAAGTAAAGTCTAAATTTGCTTTCATAAAACACTGGAACTTTTTGAAAATACTATTCACAAATTATGATGGTCTTAATGAACTGAAAGCCCCTCCCAATGTATCGTTTTCTCAGTCAAACGGAATGCCATCGACTTTCACTCGTAATTCGTTCATTGTAATGAAATACCGATGAATTTTAGCATACATATTCCTTAATTACAGTTTAACCTTGTTACTTAAATCCACGCGGTGAGATGAAATTTGCAGAGGAAGGAACATTCTTGTGCGATTTCAGAGAAACTGGACATATCTTAGAGAAATCTAGAGAGAGCCAAACGAAAATGATAGACTCAAATATTGATGTAGACATGTATCTCCGATATATGAGTGGCTTCACTTTATAAATAGTTTAGAGATATTTCATACAGTCGATAAAGCTTCAAAAATACTAGGTAATATTTGTTCACAGTACCGAAGTGAATATCTATGAAACGTTGATCAATTTGGACAACGCGGGTTCTCCTGTAGCATCCCTTCAAATACGCGGTGAGGCAGAAGCTCCAGGTAAGTGAACGGAGTATTTGAGATACACCCTACGCTATTTGCCTTTCGTGGCAAAAGTAGTGGAAGAAGTGCCACGAAACTTAATGCAGCTTATTAGTTTCTCACACTATATTTTTCTTTAGAAAATCATCTTAAGACAAGTCGCTAAAATTATGATGCTCATATGAAATCTTTCTAGATCATGGAGATGGAATGTTTGGGAATGGGAGATCAGTGCACCTAAAAGGAAGGGAAAACAATTGGGTAAGAAAGAATTTCTTTGAATTTCTTCTAAGAATGCAGTAAAATCCACTTTTAAAGGTGGCATAGGTCTGATTTTCACGGTTAACTCTGAATTTTCGAAAATTTCAAAAAATTGAATTTTTTAGGGTTCTTCATACAACTACAAAATTGAAGATAGATTTTTGCTTTAAATTAAATTTGTTGTCCATAATTTGCTCTTTCATTAAGGTCATGTACATTTTATTGGAAATTGTAGTATTTTTCGCGCATTACCGGGTGAAATTTTAAAACAAATACAAAAACAAGATTTTCTCAGAAACAGAGACTCCAGAAGGGAGGGAGAACAATTGGCTAAGGAAGAATCGCGCGCGGCTGTGGTCTTGTTTATTATATTGTTCTGTCATTCGCCAGGAAGTAAAACGGAGAATTTACCAGGAAATTAAGAGTATTTGAGCTCTATAATTCCCATTTACAAGGCTGCAGCGAGCACCCTCCCCTTCAGCTACGTATCTGATGTCTAAACTATCGATGTAAGTAAGTTTTTTATAACTCAGAAACGAAAATGACTATTTTTCAAACATTAACAATCTTGCGATTTTAAAAATTTATTTTTATTTATTTATGTTCAACTGTAATCATCTTTCAACTATTCATAGTTAAAATGACGGGATGAAGGGATTCTGGAACTCCAGAAAACGTGCGCAGATAATCTTTCCCTCCCTATGTCACATATAGTTTTTACTGTTTTTTTTTTGTTTTTGTTTTTTTACTGAATAAAACTAAATATAAATATAAACTAATCCCCTATGCGGACTAGAAACTATGATCTACTCTATATCCTCTGTTTTTATTCTGTTTTAATGGGAAGCTTCAGCTCTCAAATATACACGAACACACGTTGGTAAATTGCAACTGGTAAGTGCCTATTGAAAGATTTTTAAGCGTATAAGTGTAATTCTTCTCATAGTTCTTTTGAGAAGAGAACGATCATTCACAGAGAAAAGTGCAAATTCAATTAGCCGGGAATCCTGTCGCTTCTACGTAGGCGGTTTATCTTTAACTTATCTTCGAGCTTATCAGCGTCAGACAACAGCCATTTAGGTCAATCTACGCGTAAACCGTGCTTAGGGCGAGATACCGAAGGTCGACACACTGACAAAGAAGCACATTAGCACGGTAATACAGTCCCCTGAGTAATTGCAAAAAATATTGCCCACTTTAATGAGGGTTAAAATAGCAAAATTCAGGAGAATGTTAAAATAATAAAAACTAGAGAATATTCAACATATATGTCTTGTACGTGATATTTGAATGTCTTATAAGAGATATCTTTAGAACTGAAGGCAATTTGCATCTCTTGGTTACTTTCAAAGAGTGTAAACGGTTTCAAAACGCGTTTTCAATCCATAAGCGTAACGAGTCCCAGAGGCTAGAGAGAGCTGCAATCCCCTAAAAAGTCGCTTTGTTTCACTGGGTCAGACATTTTTCTAACTACGGTAGGGTTATCCCAAGTTCCAATTCATGTTGCAGCAATACCTACCCTTCTCTTCTACCTACACTAGACCCATGTTCTTCCTTAATCTATGCTTTCCTACTTTTCACTTTCTTTTGCTCAGTCACTCTTCATCTTTCCCATTTTTTGTTCTTCTTTTACTTCTCTGTCTTCTCCAGTCCCCCTCCTTCTAATCTCTCCCTTCATTTTCTACTCTTTCAAACGCCCTCTGCGAGTTCACAGAACACAAACCCGTTTCCCAAACACGCATCGGTTCACTATTCCCAACGCATCCGTCTTCCTTCTTCCTAATTACGCCGGAGATCAACGAGACAGATGAGAAAGAGTCGTCATTTCCGAAGCGAAAGAAAACAAGGGGCGCGGCCGCTCGGAAACCCGACGAACGGGCCGCGGGGCGGCTTCGGGGCGACGCGGGCGACGCGACGCGCGCGGCTGGCTCCTCGGGTCGAAGCGTCGCGGCGGCCTCGCAGCTGTCACTCACGCCCTCGCCTTGCACCAATCCACGCGCGCCGAACCGGGCGTAGGAGTTGGCCGCTGAGCTGCTTTCCCGCAGGAGTGACATTCTCCACTCGTGTCTCGGCTACACGTCACCCGGTAGACTGTAAAACACTGCTTTAACTGGCATCCGCAGTGTGCGGCGCGGGTATGCATATTAACGCCTATCATAACCACATCGAAATTGATAATGAAAATTTTCAATAATATATAGCATAATAATTTTTCTATATTTTGTACTATAAGCCACTATATGTTTTATTTATTTGCAGTTGATCGATAGTATATTCGGTTGGGTTTGATTCATTGGTAGAGCCAAAATAGTTGATGTACTTTTGGAAAATGTTTAGAAATTTTCAGCACCAAACTATTACTAATATTGTGTAGCTTACATGATTGTTGTTAGTAGTGATACTTTTATGTTGTTTCATTCACTAACTTTTAATTTGTCGCTCGGTACTTACAACATTTTCACAGAATCAAATGTAAATTAAAACTACATTTTCTTTAAAAAAGCAACCAATCAAAAATCCCCCTGCGACGTAAATATTTTTAATAAAATTCTTTTCTACGTTATATAGAGAAAAGAAATAGATCCTTAGAAATTCCCACCCCCCAGCAAAACCACGCCGATCATTTCATATGATACAATTATTGAGGCGTTTGGTATAAAAATCACCTCAATCCATTATGTACTAAATTCCCGTTTA